GGCAGTCTACATTTGCTCGATTCCAGTAGACAGGTTTCTGGCAGGCAACCCTATCTGGAAGATCACTACAGATTTTGGCTACGTTCATCCCCAGTCATGGCAAACACCGTCAAGCTTCTAGAGGTGTCTCAAGGGCTGAACAAGGACTGAAGCTAGAGTTTCCAACGAGACTAACCCAACAAGCTTGACGTACGTTTTGCTTTGACCAGCCAGGAGCATATCCCTGAAGGACAGCAATACCCTGTGGGAGTCTTTGCAGCTCGCACCTTGGTGAGTGGCTTGTGTTGTGTGGGGCGCATGAGTTTGGGAAGCCTTGCAGCTTCATGGAGCATTGCGGCGGAAACTATGAGATGACCCGTCTTGGCAGATGGGTCGGGAAAAAGGTTCGTCTTGTGTTCTTTAGACGCATGGAAGCTGCAAGCAAAAAACCGCGCCACCCCCACTCCATGTCTGACCCCCGCTCCGCACCCTTCGACTCCCGTCACAGCAGAGGTCGCTTTTTCTCCTGGGCCCACGCCGGGCACCTACTTTTGAGCCTGCCATGCAGGGCAGAGGACTCTTGCGATTGGGACATCTTACACAAGATTCAGGGTTTACAAAGTCAAGGGTCAGCAGACCATTTCCAGCTCAGTGTTGATGTATGCCAGCACACGTTTCAAGAGAGTGTAGAACCATTGCATATCGCAGAATTGCAACTGGGCAGCTGGAATTCTGCCGTGCTGCCTGGGCATCACGACAATCGGCAAATGACAACGGCGAAGCAAATAAAGATTGAACAAAGACCACATCGCAAGTTGACGCCTCAGTATCACATGTTACAAGACGATTTTCCAAGAAGCCTCCTTATCACAACATACCTGCTTGATGCCTGAATGCCTAAAGCAGTTCTGACCTAATGGGAAACAGCATTGCATCTGCTTTCAGCCGGTTTTGTTTGTGGTGAAATGGGTTTAGAATGCCAGGGGTGGGATAAATTTGATCCTTCATGGTGCCGGTGGGTTTGGCCAGCATTTAGTCCAAGGCTATTCATAGGAAGCAGAAGTGGTGAAGGCGACTTCCATGGCCAAGACACCACGCCTTGCCAGACTTCATCTACAGCAACACGAGTGGTATTTTGAATATGTTGGGATACAATGGTCCCTTAATATACTATGGTTCTCGATATAGAGTATTCTCCTTTCGGGAAGTTGCTTGAGAAGAATAGATAATCTTGCGCCTGATTCAACCACCAAATAACTATTCATTCATACATCCACGGTCACGGCAGACATTACCGCTGACTTACAACTAAGCACCTTTAGCCCAAGCGACGCGCAGGAGTACAGTCAGGGTCTGGGGGCGGGACATGATCCTAACGCTTGCGCAGTTCCAAGGCCACCGCCGCGCCGAGCTCTTGCGGGGCGAGCTCGGCCATAAATAGGCGCGGCCCTAGTGCCAGCCAACCAGTGGCGCACCAGTGCCAATTCTTGATCCTAAGCCCGGTCCTAAGCCCGATTTGTTTTTCGGCCCGTGCTGCTTTCGCTCCAGCAAGGTCCCCATGCCCTGCCTCTGCTGGCTGCCCGCGCTCAACTCTTGCTCCATAACAGTGGCCTGGGCCTGCGTTGTGCTACTTGTAGTATCCGAATTGTTCTCCGTGACAGGGAAAATGAGTCCATGAGCAAGCTCTGCAAACCCAGCCTGGAAACCTTGTCTGCCACAGCACCCCCCCCGCGTGCAGGTAAGAACGAGGGAGACGCCAGAGTGACTAGCCGCATTTCATACTGCTGGATGCCTCCTCCAAAGTGAGCTGTGCATCCGTCAGCAGAATGCTACTTACAAGCTAGACCGTCCATGTTGGCCCTGTGCCTAAGACATGTGTAGTGATAGTAATTCGCTAGCCGCTAGTACCAATTGCAGCTGGTCTTACAACCACCTATAGCCCACGGGGAATGAGCCTGAAATGAGATTTCTTTTCTTAGCCTTCACGGACCGAAGCTCAAACCCCCTGTACGTTCCCAATGCCAAAGAGGCATTTCTTTCCTTGGCCATTGCATTGGGAGCAAAAACATATCTGACGCTGGTTTGGATGGGTCCTTTGGCATAACCTGCAGCATCATTGATAGTGTTGGCGTGGCAAGTGCCGGGCAGAGATAGGATAAGCACAGACCAGCCATGCTTCAGGTCTGTTCCTTGGATGGAGATTGCTAACCTAGTGTGCTTGTCGACTTGCATTTGAGCAGTATTTTTTTTGGGGATACTATGGTACACATTATATGGTAAAATTATATCCTCTTTTTGGGGTATAGTATTTCATATAAGGAATATAATCTTACTGGGTTTAGCCACCAAAAAAACGCTACTCATTTGTGGGGAGGCTTGCCCTTGGCAAGCTTGGATGAGGGCAAGAGTCGGTGTTGGCCCAGCAGAGTAGCTCCCTGGCCCTGGATCCTCCCCCGTTGTTTTTCTCTGCCAGTTTGCACTTGATTCATCTTGATTGACCCAACACTGGAGCGCAGGAGGCTCAGGCTTAACAAGCCCGCAGGCGCCGAATCAGGGAATGTTTCGCACGAGCTTTTGCAACATCCTGCCAACATGTCAGTTTATCAGCTACGAGCTTTGGCATGCAACATTAGAGCCTAGACTCGCGCCAAGAGGGGGCGAGCATGCAATCCTTGTGTTAGGTTCTCTGTGAGTAGCTGCAAGTACATCCTTTTTGTGATCATGCTTGGCGGCAGCAGGAGAGTCGGAGTCTCAAGTAGTGCAGGCACATGTTGCATGAATCATTGGTCACTGGATTGCTAATGTCTCAAGTGACGTTCGCCAGGGTTCCAATGGTGTACCTGGTTTAGTTGCCTCACATGGCACCACCAGTTGCTGAGCAGGCCCCTCTCTGATCCCTGCACTTTCTTCAACAGCTGAAGCTTGAGAGCACTGGGCTCTATTGCACTACCTTGTGCTAAGCATCTGGCCAAGACGAGGAAATCCCATGAAATCCCAATCCACTGCTCAGTCACTGAGCCTGACATTTGAATTTGATGAAGGGCATCACGTTCTTTGCATCTTTTGGTCGCTGGCTGGACTGTCAGCAGCTCTTTTTTTGCATCGCTTAGACAGCACTTATAGGCTCCAAATTCTAACTTGAACAGTTGCATGTTTCGAAGGGCTCACAACTCGGAGTCAAGCATCAGCCTGTAAGGCTGACATTGACGACCCGCCCTTGTTTGGAGGCACAGGGCTCCAAATGTTCGTATGCGTATCCGCTGCAAGACCAGTTGCAAGGCGACGTCATCCGGCATGTGACTCATATGACTGTTGAACACAACTTGCAGGCGTTGCTTGAAGACCTACATGTCTGCATCATGCATGCTTGGCAGTCATGCGCACGTCAATTCTGCAGCTGGTTTCGGGAGTCAGGGGGAGTCCAGCCTGAATCAGGATGGGTTCTAATTAAGCTCGGTACTCTCAGCTACGCAGCTTGCAACAGCGATGTGCACGCCTCGGCCAAGGGTTTCTCTTCTTTCAGCGAGGACCATGGTCTTGAACTAGCCTTTAGGGTTCAGGGTTAAGGGTTTGGGCGTTTAAGGTTAGGGTCTGCAGGTCTTGCATCATCCTTAGCTATTCTGCCAGGCATCAGAGAGAAATTCTCCACTCGGCTTTGACCTCGCTCCGTCTTCATGGCTTCAGCGCGGAGAAGCGTAGCGCCATGATTCTGTGTTCATGTTTGATACAGCCTCTTTAATAGCTACCATGTGCAGAGACTTACCTGCAATCACTGGAACCAGCTGTTGAGAGCCGACACAGCCTACTTCAACATGCGAATTTGTGAGCACATGCTCGTTGTGCACATGCAAAAAAGCAGGCATGACACAGCGCATACCAGCACTCATTTCCCACGATACAACCCTGCTAGAAAAAATCACGGCATATGCTACAAACCCAGACAAGTCCTAACGAAGGAAGCCGTTCTAAGCTGATGTTCACAGGACCTTAGTCCAAACCCAGCTCTTCGACTCTCGTGTCTGTACATAGGCGTGCGAGCACCATGCCAACTTTTGCTGGAGACTCTGATGTTGAGATGTCAAGACAGCTTCGGCATGCTACGAGCAGTGCGTGTTTGTTGGAAAGGTAAATTGTGAATACAGGTCCGCTGTGAGCCAAGCACGAACAGTTTTCAGTCAGGTTTTAGAGGCTGGAGCCATCGCTGCCAGCCTGGGCGCGCTGAGAGCTCAGAGCTTGTGCTCAGCTAAAACGCTCAACAACAAATTGCCTCCTTTTGCCTGAGCCTGTGCTCTCAGGGTGGGCTCCACACTCGCCACGCCGCGGCCCTGGCAGTGCAGATCTACCTCTGCCTGTGCGTCCTGGGGACGTGAGCCATGAGCAAATGCAGTAATGACCTACAGACGCCCGAGCTTTTTCCCTGCTTCTTTAAGGAAATTAACGACCTTGAATACAGCTGCGGTCTGCAGAGCGGGAGCAGGTGTATTATGCACATGATCGCCAGCTGTTTGCCAGCCCATCCCTGAGCGCCCCAACGCCGCTTGCTTATCCGTT